CATGTGGGCTACTTTCATGCTAAATGGCTTCCAAGATCCAATCAATCTAGTGGGCCCATTGGGGTGACAATTGTCATTTTCCATTAGAAAGAAATTGAAGATTGTCTTGCTAAATTACAATAGGTTTCCACAAGTGAAGGCAATTCGAATGTGAGGTTGGGCGGGCTCTTCAAGTGAAGCCACCCATTATAAAAAGGAGAGGAGAGTAGTGAGACTCTCTCTCGGAGAGAGAGGTGACCAGGAGGATGAAAAGAGCTGGTTCTACTACAGAAAAGAGAAGATAAAAAAACATAACAAGGAAAGGAAGGGAGAAGACAGAATAATTTGGAAGAATTCTAGCTCATGAGCTGATGCTGAACTATTGAAATTTCAAATTAAATGTTGTTAGCCACGTGCATGTTGAGAGATTTTCAACTGAAATCATTCTCTCCTCTTCGATTCTCTCCAGCAATTCCCAACTAGAAATTTGGCTTCTCGACTGTAGAAGCCTCAAAACTACTGCAGTCCCGTGTCATGCGAATTGAAGAATTTGGTCATTTGAGTTGTTGTACTCAAAGAAAGCTCCCATCAAATTACTGCAAACAAAAAATATTCTATTAAATTATTGTAGTCAAGAAGATCTTCGTCAATTCATTACAAGGGACCTCCTACCACTAAAGTCGTCAAGCTTTATGGGTCGTGTTTGTGACAAGCTACAAATGCAAGTTCAATCGTGTTCGTGACAAGAGAACCAGAGGGTATTCTTAAAAAAAAAAAAATAGTTTGTATCCCACTTAAATTTCTACAAAAAAAAATTAAATTTCTTTGAATTTGTCCGCATTAATTTTTGTGCTCCAAATTTAGCGCGAAATTTATGTTGGCAAATTTCTAGCACGCCCGGTGGGACATCTCTTTCCTCTCATCTCTCAAGTCAACACATCAAGTTTGTTTTTCAAGCGGTTTGGACACATGTGTCCAAAGAAAACCGTTTCAAGCTTCGTCGAGAACAAGAAAAATGCCACATATAGCTCAAGCTCATCCATCTTAAGTACATTTTTAGCCTCCAACTACGAGAGACCAACCACCTGCCTTATGACAGGGTCTGGGAACTCACAACTGGTTGCACCTCTCACCTTCTATGGAACTCAAGGGGTCCCTTCAAAACTCTAAAATGCCAAAGAGGGACCTTCAATGTTGCCGGCGACAAAGGATGCTAATACGAAGCAGGTAGTCCCGGCAAAAGAGTTCATCACAACAAATCCACTTGAGTATCCAAGTGGAGGAATGCCCATGTCAGACATGGAATCGAGTACTGGGTCCAGGTCTGGCTCCCATCCCAACTCTCTCAAGATTGGAGGGTCTGATTAAATGCAGACTCGCTCCTACACCTCAGTAGCACCGTCATGATGGTGGGAGCTACTATAGTGGAAGAACAACTTGCTGAGATGGCTGCGGCCATCACTAAGTTCACAAAGACGGTGGAAGAGAAGGACCTTCAAATTGCTTCTTTCATGAACCAAATGGAACAAATGCAAACAATGACATCCAGTCAGGGGCCTTCACACCCACCAGGGTTCACCCCGCAAGTAGACCCTCCCTGAGAGGAGTTGCCAGAATGTACTAACATACGGGACACCCAACATGCTTCGGTTGCCTCCCCCTCAGTACAACAACTCCAAGACATGATAGCTGACATGATACGTACTCAGTATGGAGGTGTATCACAATCATCCTTAGTGTATACTAAGCCATATATTGGGCGCATTGATCATATGCTTATGCCATTAGGGTACTAACCCCCAAAGTTTCAACAATTTGATGAGAAAGGTAACCCTAGGCAACATATTGTGCACTTCATAGAGACATGCAACAATGCCAGAACTTTCGGTGATTTAATGGTAAAGCAATTCGTACAATCTCTACGAGGAAATGCTTTTGACTGGTACACCGACCTCCCTTCTGGATCAATTAAAAAGAGACTTCTTGGATCGCTTCTACAGTACTCGACGTACTGTAAGCATGTATAGACTCACTACCACAAAACAGAGAAACATTGAACCAATCATTGACTATATTGACAAGTGGAGAAATCTCTACCAAAATTGTCGAGACAATCTCTCAAAAGCTTTAGCTATTGATACATGTATCTAAGGCATGTGTTGGGGTTTGCATTACATCCTCAAGGGAATAAAACCCCGAACATTTGAGGAATTACCCACCCACGCCCATGACATGGAACTTAGTTTGGCTACCTTTGGAGAACATCACCTAGATGATTTTCAAAGGGAAAAGCAAAAGAAAGATAGTGAAAATGAGATGAAATTGTCTAGGCTGATGCAAGTTCTAGCAACCTCAATAACCCCTTTCAAGGTTATTGTGAAGAAAAAAAAGCAATAAAGAAATTAAATCAAATATTCAACGAGAGAAAGAAAATCCAAAGTTCACTCTTAAGGAATTGGAAGCGGAGGTGTATCCATTCTCTGATTTAAATGTCCCAAAAATGTTGGATGCCCTTCTAGTTGAAAAGCTTATAGAGCTTCCTGATAGTAAACGCCCAAAAGAAGAAGCGAAAATTGATCATCCAAAATATTGTCGTTACCATCGGGTAATTATCCACCCAGTCAAAAAATGTTTTGTCCTCAAAGGCAAGATAATGCAATTGGCCGAATCAGGAGTGGTCGAACTATATCCAAGTGAGGACATAGCGACCACCAACATGACAACCATTACATTTGGATCCTTTGAACCTGAAGCTCTCCAATGCCCTCATTATCTTATCATCTATGAACTCACACTGGGGGCATCACTAAAGCAAATAGTCCCCATTAACCCTTCTACATGTTGTCATACACTAGGGGTAGTATTAAATCGAGCACAAGCACAGGCCTTAAGTCCCAAGGAAATTCCTTCACCCCGACTCACCACATCACTCTCAAAAGATGATTGGACCATAATTACACGTTAGGAGCATCATGCGACACACCAATCCACTCTACCTTATAGACAATCAAAGCAAATTAAAAGGAATGTTCGATCACAAAAACTCCATGAAAGCAAGAAAAGACAAGGCAAGAATGTTGTTATCCAATCACTGCGAGTGGTAACCAATAAAGTTTTGAAACAAGTCCCTCGACTTCCAATTACTCTACAAGAGTACATACAAAAGAAATTTTAGCTATGCATACAGTCACATGTTACACAGAAAGAAAATGAGTCAAAATTCCCTCATGAATATGAGCTTAAACTATCTGTGCTCCCAAATACAATCCTAAACTGTCTATTAGAATAAAAAAAAACTCACTCAAATACGCTCCTACATATGAGTATAAACTATCTACAAAACTCCCGAGTATGAGTATAAATTACTTGACTTCCTAGATTTAAATTTGTCATTTGATGGACAAATTGGACAAATCTTTGATTAGGATTAGTAAATCCCATTTAAAAGGCAACCAGCAGCTTTCAAGGCTTAATTGATCCATCAAAAAAAGGAAATTAATGGCTGGTCAATGGGCTAAATGATGCATGGGCCTAGCCCCTTTGCCAAGTGGCATATTAAATCTAATCTATGGATTTAATTACACTTAAATGGGGATCGAAGATTGACCACCGAATTGTAAATTTAGTGGGGCCCGTTTGAATTAACTTAAGTGAATCATAATGAATCAGAGAAAAAAAGGGAATGTTGATTGGATATCTTAACCGACCACATGTGGGCTAGTTTCTTGTTAAATGGCTTGCAATTATAATTGATCATGATCCAATTAATCTAGTGGGCCCATTGGGGTGACAATTGTCACTTGCCATTAAAAAGAAATTGAAGATTGTCTTGCTAAATTACAATAGGTTTCCATAAATGAAGCCAATTCGAATGTGAGGTTGGGCGGGCTCATCAAGTGAGGCCACCCATTATAAAAAGGAGAGGAGAGTAGTGAGTCTCTCTCTTGGAGAGGTGACTGGGAGGATGAAGAGAATTGGTTCGTCTACGGAAAAGAGAACTTGTTAGCCACGTGCATGTTGAGAGATTTTCAACTGAAATCATTTTCTCTTCTTCGGCTCTTTCCAGTAGTTTCCAACCAGAAATTCGACTTCTCAACTGCTGAAGTCTCAAAACTACTGTAGTCCCGTGTCACGTGAATCAAAAAATTTGGTCATTTGAGTTGTACTCAAAAAAAGCTCCCATCAAATTATTGTAAACAATAAATCTTCTATTAAATTGTTGTAGTCAAGAAGATCTTCGTTGAATCATTACAAGGGACCTCCTACCATTAAAGTCATTAAGCTTTACGGGTCGTGCCTGTGACAATCTACAAATGCAAGTTCAATCGTGTTCGTGACAAGATAATCAGAGGGTATTTTCAAAAAAAAAAAAAAAAAGAATTTGTATCCCATTTAAATTTCTGCAAAAGAAAAAATTAAATTTCTTTGAATTTATCCGCATTAATTTTTGTGCTCCAAATTTAGCACAAAATTTGTGTTGACACCCATCTTGGGGGAAAGTTGCCAACACTTGAATAAAACAAAAATACCCATTGTAATAATGGATTTTATGACTAAAATGGTCATTGTTTTGTTTGCATGGAAAATAAAAGAACATGGTAAATCCCATAGAGACAAGGATGGAATTACCTTATCCTTGCTGATGAGGGGATGGAGATGGGGAGTGGCTCCTCTTCCCCGGCCTACCCTGCTGTCATTTGTATTAGCCCGGTTCCCGAACATTCGAGTCCGACTATGTAAACTTCTTACCCATCTGGGCCTAGGGTTTGCTTGGTTAGGGCCCAGGCCCAGCCTGCATTATGTGCGGGCTTGGTGCGGGGCTGAGCCCACAGGCAAAATAGCTGTCCGGGTCTGGAAGTTTGCGGGCCGATCCGGGCCGGGTGTTGAAAAATCATCCCTGCGGATCTGAAGGCTTTCTTAATCGGGTCCGGCCTTTCGGATCAATTAGAAAGCGGCCGTGCTTTGTCTGAAAGGAATGCCGGAAGGAAGTTTGAAAGATTAGCCGGAGAGCTCTCATGGCGGAAGAATCAAAAGCTCAGGTCTCTAACCCTCCACTGTCTCCGCCACCTAAATCATCTCAAGAAAACCCCAGGCAGTCTCAGGTACTTGAACCTTCTTATCTCTACTCGTACTGTCAAATTGGGATCTCAATTCGCTCTATCCTCCTTCCCCAACTTTCATTCATTGTGATCTGGGGTTTCTAGCTGTAACCATTCAATCTAGAGCCCTTCTGTTCTTTCTTTTTATCATGATGAATTTGGATATCTTTGGTTAGATAGGTTCATATTTTTTTGGTTCTTGGTTTTTATTTTCGATGAATTATTCTTTGTTTAATGTAAAATTGCATTTATGAATCTTTCTTCTTTTTCAGTATAAGATTTTTTCCCGTTCATTATGCACAGGATCTTTGACATATCTGGTGGCTTTTATCTGGAACTTTTGAGCTTTGAAAGTTATAGGCTATGCATCTATGGTTCTTTCTAGAACGGAACCAAATTTTGGACATTACATTTTATGCCTTGATTGAAAAATGGTGTTTTCAAGCCTCCCAGCTGGATGGGAACTATAAGGTTAGGAAGTTTTCTTGGTGTAATGATATATGGGAAATAACATATATCAGGCAGAAGTTACATTAAAGTACTTGTTCGCAGATTTAGAGGGCAAATCGTAAAATGAGATTTCCAACCAAAAGTGAAGACACAACAGTTTATAAATAACCATCAAGAGAATTATGATTTAGATTTCTATTAATCCATGGTTCCAAACTGTGCTATGTAATCAAATTTTATAATCTAGTCTCATACAGCTTTCTCATCTTTGGAAACTTAAATATTATCTTGGAGTTGGAGTTATCCTCTTCCATGTTTTTGGACTTCAATTAAATAAATTCCCAATCATGTATTCTAGAAATTTTCTTTTGTTTCATTTAGTTAGTCCAAGGACCCATTATCTGAGATTCCTTTGTTGCAGCACTTAAATGGGTCTCTTTGAAACGGCTTTTCTATGGCATAAACACACTTCCTGAAATACAAAGAACTTGTGAATAAACTATTTTGGGGCTAGCTTTTCACCCTCGAGTCATTTCATCACAAAGTTCGGTTTCATCACAACATGACTTTAAGCACTAAGCACTAGCTAGAAACAAGTAATAATAAAACCTATTTACTTTTTGTAGTTTTTGTTTTTGCCATTTCCGGAAGAAGGTGGCTAGCTTTTTTTTTTTTTTTCTGCTATTCCATGTGCTTTTATTTATGTTTTGATGGTCATATACAAAGTTCTATTCAGTGCAGCTAATTACATTACATGGATTTCCTCTAGGAATACATTGCCCAACGTTTTCTTGTCAATTTCCATGAAATTTACCATTCAGAAAAATGACTAAGATATTGCCATTCCTGGTACTTGGTTCCATCTGTCCAGGGTCTTGGGAGTGGGGACTGTATACAGACTTATAGGTGTAAAACGGGCTGGGCCACCCATGGGCCAGCAGAGCCCACGTGCTACAGTGCCATATCGTTCCAGGCGCAGCCCATACCCCTGGGCGAGAGATTGAGGCCCACAGACTGGCATGGCTCGCAGCCCATATGGGCCCATGCCAGTATGTATATATTAATGATATATAAATATATGAACATGTATTTTTTCCTTCATAGAAAAGAAAGAAAAATCATGCTGACCTACAGGCTGGCCTGGCCCTGCAGCTGTGCCCCCTACCCGCACTTTAATGCCATACCAGAAAGGTCTGCTACAATGCAGCAGCACGACAAAAATGAGTACACCTATATACAGACCTAATGCTTGTCAGCCAAAGTTTTTTTTCATTATACCAGGTCGTACAAAAATAACTAAGCTATCCTCTATAGGAAATATATTTATCAAAAAAAAATTCTCTATAGGAAATATAACTTGGCTGGCAATGAGACTTATGGTTGCTCAAGTTGGAGGAGTTCTTGCAAGGTGCAACCAGCTGGTTGGTAAGGTCTCCTGCTGGTTGTAGTGGAGACTTGGGATTGAATCCCGCCTGCACCTGGGTTGTGTAACCCTTCAGAACATATCAAAAAAAAAAAAAGGAAATTGGAGGGTTATGGAAGTTTCACAAAAGGTAGGGGTGGGTGACAGAACAAGCTTTTGGAGAGACATTTGATGCAATGACAGAAGCCTGATGGATAGATTCCCATTGGCAAATGATAGGGATACTTGAGTTTCAGACTTGTATGAGTTGCATGGTGAAGTCATCACATGGTGCCCAACTTTTTGAAGGAATCTAAACGAATGGGAAATTGAGGATCTGATTTTGTTGATCAATTTACTTAACACATCTATCCCTTGGGTAAACCAGGAAGATACAAGAATTTGGAAATGGGTAAGCTTGGGGAACTTTTCAGTGAAGTCTTTTTTCAAGAATGTAAGTACTACTCAGGTGGCAAAGTTTCCATAAAAGGAAATTTAGCTACCAACACATTTCTTGATTCCTTGAGTTGTGTGCTATGTGGATAGGAGAGGGAGACTGCAGATCATCTGTTCCTCACCTGTCCAATATCCAGTGTGGTGTACAATCACTTCTGCTATCTCCTAAATCTCAGCTGGTGCCTGCCAAAAACTGAGGGAGCACTTGAAGTCCTGGAAGATTAGTAGCCTAAACAGGAGGAGCAGAAAATTATGGTGTCTAATCCCAGCTGTTGTAACCTGGTGCGTATGAAAGGAGAATAACCTCAGAATTTTCGAAGATAGAAGCACCCCATATGAAGAGCTATTTTTAAAAAGGGGGTAGATGTTCTAAGAGGTAAAACGACCTTAGAAGTTAAGGCGACTGAGATCTCTGGCAGCAGAGAAGTGTTGGAGAAAGGTTATAATGAGTTTGATGGGGTTCAATGGCCTATTCCGGTTGTAGAGGAAGAAGGTTCAATTTAGAAGATTGGTTGAGTGTGGTGGTTCATGAGGAAAAGGGAGATGGAGTGGTTGTTGAAAGAAACAGTTTTCAGCTGAAAGAGTTAGCAGTCAACCAGAGATGGAGATTGATAGACAAATCAATGAACAGGTTGCATCTGAGAGGCTAGTTGGAGGAAGTTTTGTTGAAATTGTGGTAGGGAAGCTAGGGAGAGAATTGGGGAGAAGGAAGGTCAAAGCAGATAAGGAAAGTTTGTTGAAAGAGAATAGAGGCATCAGTGAAATCTCTTCAAACTTGAAGAGAATAAGGTGCTTGGGTTCTGGCCAGTTTGGTCCATGTGACTAAAGTATTTTCAGAATAGAGGCTCTTTGGGGCTAGTCCTTGCAATTAATATAAGAGATTGTATAAGAGGAAGAAGCAATAGGTAAAGCAAGACAAAACAAGAAATTTTGGAAGATTCACAAGTCATGGATCAAGATCTTTTGCAGACTAAGGATGCTGATCATGTAAGTGTGCAATCAGAGTTGGCAGATTTAGCTTATGGTGATGAAAGAACAAATTAGGATGGAGAAGATTCAAGAGGTAGTGGAGAGTGGTGGTGAATAGGTTTTAGATTAAACAATACCGGTTGAAAGAAAATTGGATTTGTGGGTGGAGAAGTGCAAGTCAGCATATTAATGGGTCTCTACTTTGTGGGTGGTGAAGAATTTGCTAGGAAAGCTTTTTTGGATGTTGAAAAGGGTGAGCAGAGTTGATATTTTATTAATGGGAAGAGCATGGGGAGGTGCTTGTGACAAGGTTGAAAGTATCAGAAACACCAAGTATATTGGAAAGGCAATTTTATGAGACATGTCGGGATATGCCTTGATAGTTGGATACGCATGTGTATCGGAGAAAAATTAAGATACACATGAAAACACTATAAATAATTTAATAAATCATAAAAATACATCAATAACACTAAATGTAAGGCTTGAATGAGGTATACATACATTAAATTAATATATTTTAATGGGTTTTATGAAAAATATATCATAGTCAACTATAATTTTCATTAAAAAACCCTATGCTTAACTATAATTTATAAATTATAATTCTTAAGTTTTAAGGGATGAGAAAAGCCCAACTATCCTATTCAACAATAAAACATACATTGGCACAACTTCTAAGTCAAAATATAATTCATAATTATTTCTTATTTAAATAATTACTATTTATTTTTAATTTCAAAATTTACAAAAAAATCAAAATAAATAAACATTGTACAATTTATTCAAAAAATTACTGAAGAAGAAATTTTAATTGCTCTGTGGATATGATAAATCATCTATAAATCTATTATATTTTGATTAGGTCATAAAAATATAATTAATTATTATTTATTTATTTTAATTCTGAAAATATAAAAAATAAAAAAAATAATTATTGAAGAAGGAAGTTCATTTGCTCTATAGCATAGTTTTCAAAGCGCCCAGGCGAGGCTAGGCGACAGGGGGGTGCCTTCTCGCCTAGTCACCTTGGCAATGGATTTTTTTTTTATTTTTTTTGAAAACATGGATCCTAGGGTAGTTCCCTAGGTACCATAACCATATTTCCTTAATAATTATTCATAATTTTCATAAGAAAAGTATAAAGTTCATGTTAAATTAAAGAAAATCAACATATTCATGAGAAGAAAAAGAAGAAAGAAAAGAAAATTGAAAAAATATAGGGGCTGAACCCTTATTTTTGTTATAGGAGAAGAAGAAAAAGAAAAAGTAGAAGAAAAGAAGAAGAAGAAGAAGAAGAAGATATGGAAGAAGAAAATGTGTTAATTAGACAAAATTTTAACTTCTACCTTATTGGTCTAGGTTTTGAGGTCTTTGAGGGTTCAATACAGCATTCAACAATGTTTGTGTTGATTGAACCTAACAAATAAGAAAATAATAAAAAGAAATTAGTACATAAGCACACAAAATGAATATTTTAGTTTAATAATGTCTACTTTATAATTTTAATCTCAAAAAATAAAGAATAAAAAAGTATTTTATAATAGAAAGTATAAAATTGCTTGGTGATTAGGCGAGGGTGTCTTGACGCCTAAGTGTCACCTTGACAACCATGCTCTTTGGATATGATAAATCATCTATAGGTCTACAATATATTCAATCCTTATGATTAGATCATAAAAATATAATTAACTATTATTTCTGAAAAATATAAAAAATTAAAATA